GTCCAATTGTGAATCTCAATCATCCAGGGACACTCAAAGACCGGGGAAGGACCACGCTCTCACAGAATACCAGCGTAAAATAGCAATGCTGTGTTTCGTATGGTGAGTGTAGAGAACCGGTGACCCTTTTTACTGGAAATGAGGCATTCCATCTTAGTCCTCACGAGTGACAACGCATCTGCATTTTGATTTGTAATAAAGGATAAATGTAGATGTCCATGGGCCGCAGCAAACACTTACCATCAGGTGAACTGTATGCTCATTTGTCACCCTTATCCTATAAAAAAAGCGCAGAGCTGATATCCTCACACCTGTAATTTTCCCCACGACCAACTTGCGAAGTAGGTACTTGTATATTATAGTTCAAGTATTCTCATACCGATTTACTGCCATTCAGTGGGTCATCAGATCCTCTACCGTGAATTAACACGGTGTACCACTTGCGGTTGAGGTTTAAAAGTTAAAAAGTTTTAAACCTCTACCTCAAATTTAAAAAGTTGTGATAGGTACGTCCTCTTGCATTAATTTTCATTAAAATATCTAATTCGATTTAACAAAGCAGATTATCGTAAAACATTCATAATTTACTAACGGCTAATAACTTGAATTTAGGTTACTTAGTGGATTGTTCAATGAGGGCATACACGACTTTTTCTGCCACCAGGGCGGCGCCACTAGAAAGTGAGGTATATTATACCTCACTTTCTAGTGGCATATAATATAGTAGTTGACTGATTTCAAAGCGGGAAGTTAAATTGTTCGAAAAATGTAAAGGGAAATGTTTTTTTCTGAGCTATTAGCTATATTTTATATAAATAAGATTAAAAATAAATAAACCAAATCACAGATATTCATAAAAGTAGAAGTTTTTTAAAACAGTTAAAAATGTGCAAAAAAATAAATAAAGAGCAAACCACTGAGGCATTGTTTTGTGTATTAATATAATACTCTAGAAATTGATAAACTATTATTAAAAACTAACTTCTCAATCAAATGACATTGTGTAACAAAAAACTTTACCTCAGTGTCAATTAGCGACATCTGGTGAGCAGAAAATGATTACCCCTAATTATATTTTTCTCTGGTAGGTACCAATTACATTTAGTTTTATTGTTATAATTTTAGCTAAGTAACTGCTTTTTACACGCGATAGAGCCATGCTGCAGGTGTTTTATAGTTGTAACGTCAATGTGTCGGCTCGAGCGGGGAAGAACCACGCTCTCACAGAATACCAGCTCAATACTGCTGTGTTTCGTAAGGTAAGTGTCGAAAACCAAAGACCCGTCTTTACTACGTAGAGGCATTTCATCTCAGACCTCAGGGTGACAACGCAACTGCATTTTGATTCTTAATTTAGGATAGATGTAGATGTCTATGGTCATAGCAGTTACTTACCACCCGGTGAACTCTGTGCTCGTTTATCACCCTTATTCTGTAAAAAATATCGCTGGTCGTATATATTTTTTTTAAATAAAGATTCCGTCAATTTCACAAAAAGTTTAGTTTATTAAAAAAATCTTATTACTCTTTAAAGATTTCTCTTATTAAAGTAACTTATATATAAAGTATTTCATTACCTGCTGTAGGTACCAACATTTAATATTTATTAAAAATCTGAAGTCATAATAACCTCCTTTGAAAGATAGAGACATAAGATGGTATAGCTAATGGTGTGCGATAGAGAGGAATGCCGCTACCTTCAACGATTAACCCCCGATTTCCCCCCGAGTCGGTGTCGGGGCCAGATTATATTTTAATGCAATAATTCTACGTGATCATACAGCGTTTACGAGTGTCGGCAATGCAATACAAGCGATGAGAGATAAAGATAAATCAGAAGATTTTATATTCAAATTAAAAAAAAATATGTTCATTAACGTTGTATTTTGTAATAATTTTAAATGATCAGATCAGATTTAACAATTCAATGAATGCATCATCCATAGAAATAAAAAAAAATCGAAATTGTGTGAGTGAATGAAACTAAAGTTTTGTGTTTGTAACTAGAAAAGTATGTTTTATAATATTTTAAAAGATTTCAGGCTTAAACATACATAATCTGCATATTAAATTTTCATTCGAAATTTTACACACAGTTGTATCTACTTATTTAAGTGTCCTAGTGTTTTTAAGTATATGGGCAAAATTTTCTATTCATGTAGGTACTACAGTGCTGGACCGCCAAGCATCCCGGTGGTGTGGATTGCATCGTGTTTTTTTTCATTGTATTCGTGAAATTTGGCAGCTGGAATTAATCAGAACAATTCCGCAGAGCACTTCCCATGGTAAATGCGAAAACTAGAAAATACAGTAAATAATATGAAGAAATAAGGAGTATTATATTATAAGATAAGGTGACAAACGAGCACATAGTCCACCTGATGGTAAGTGGTTGCTGCGGCCCATAGACATCTACATTTATCCTCAATAAAGAATCAAAATGCAGATGCGTCATCACCCGTGAGAACTATGATGGAATGCCTCTTTTCCAGTAAAATGGATCTCCGGTTCTCTACACTCACCATACGAAACACAGCAGTGTCAAGCTGTTATTTTACGCTGGTAGTCTGTGAGTTCGTGGTCCTTCCACGGTCGAGCCGACCCATTCGTGCTACAACTATACTACTAATATAGCTGCAGCATGGCTCTACCACGTATAAAAATATAATAATATATATATATATATATATATATATATATATATATATATATATATATATATATATATATATATATATAAGAACTTCTGTTTGTTTATTATCATAAATTGTGAACCTGAAGATTTTTATTAAGTGAACGTTAGATTGTCAGTTCTGAGTGTCAGAGCATTGTAATATAACATGAATATTCTACGATGTTTTATCAAAGTATACCTAGCGATTGTCAATATTGTGGGGATATTATTAATATGTGTTTTTGTGATTTCAATTGACATGTTTCTAGGTTTTATTGTGGTTATATGCTTAAATTGTATGTTGTCAACTGATCATCATTTTTATAGAGGTGAGTATGGCTAACGAGCACACAGTGCACTTGGAATGCCTAGTTAGCAGTCCGGTTTTCTACCCACCATACGAAAGACAGCAGCGTTAAGCTATAATTTTACACTGGTATTCTGTGAGAAGGTATTCCTTCCCCGAGCGAGCATTCATTCTTATTTTATTTAACATCATAAGTAAGAAAATCTTAAGATTTATACTTGTACATTCAACTCATCTGTATCTTCTTGGATCGCAGATTAAATTTGTCGAATTCCAGCCCGAGTTTCCACCTAAAGTACAGTCGGCAAAACAGCTATTGTTGTTTTATACTACATTTGGATTAGTACTACTTATATATTACCTATATGTTTTAATTTTGTTGCAATTGTAAACTTTACGTAGTCATAATATTAGGTAATATTTTATTAGAAATCAGGTTTAAGTAAAAGCAAGTGGATAATATTAAACTTTATTATTAAAATGAAATTACACAAATAAGAAAAACTTGTGTCTTTTGTGAGTTTTCGATAAGGTAACATTTAAATATAAAACGAAAGAGATTGGTAGAATATTTAAATACTTCAATTGAATATTTATATGTTAAAGGTAAATTCAAACGGTTCTTGCCACAAAATTCTATCGAACAAATTTTCTTACCTTATTTTTGCTACTATTAATTAGGTACTTTATTGCTAGGTACCTTATCGCTATCACTATAATATCATCTAGTATATAGAGGTTGTCAATTATTTTTGCTCCTTTTACATATTGGAAGTTCACTAATTATTTAAAATCGATGTTTGATCTGAAACTTACAGCGTTGTTGAGGAAAATAATCTAAATGAGGAATAATTTTTATCGTATAGTGGCGGTGTAAGAATATCCAATTAACCATAATATCATTCCATAGGTGTTTTAAGAGGTGTAAGAGGAAAACAAATAGAGAGTTGATGGGCAGTAGCGCATTCCTAACAACGATTAAAAATAAAAAAACTGCGATTGCCAACCCGCATGCCAAGCGCGGCAACTATAGCAACTATTTCCCCTATGACGCAACCTATGGGGGAGGCCTATGTTCAGAAGTGGACTTTAATAGGCCGTAACGGTAATGGTAACGGAATGCAGAGTAATACATTATGTAATAAAACTAATTTTTATTATAATTAATCTTCTATATTTTGAGCCAGAAACAGACAAGGTTTAACTTGCTAGCACTTTCGTATAAGCTACCATTGAATAATATTCAATTATTAAAGCAATAATCCCAGTTCACAGGTCTCTGGAGGTTAAACGCCATCTACCGACGCTTGGGCAAATTTTCGTAAAATATTATTATTGATACAATTAATTTTATCATTGAGAATATTCACTTTAATATGCATATTTCACTTTTTGTTAGTTTAAGCTTTAGTGCTTCACATTTTATAGAGCAAATAATATAAAAATGATATAAATTGATATAAATTGTTCGCTTATTTAAGTCGCACTCAAAGTAATAATGTCATTGTGATGTTAAGGCATACATAATTACAAAATTTGTTCAAATTGTGTAAATTATTGTTTTACTAAATTATTTTTTTCTCGGGTCATCTTTTGATGAAAAGTATTACTACCGTGTTAAAATAAAGAATTTTTCTATTTGTCGCTAGATGTCACTGTAATAGCCATTTATTGATAATTGTTGTGAAATAATATGTTTTAATTGTATGACAATTATATTTTATAATTATTAATTATTTCGAAAATTTTGACCACTTCTTTGTCTTACGAAATGAAAGTCATTATTATGTTATGAACGTTTAGCTCAGCAATCTAGAATCAAATAAATGTCATTATATAACAAACGTGTTGTCAATGTCAAATGTCATTGTCAAATGTCAAACTTGTCATAAATAAAGTCTGTTTTTGTTTCAGATAGGTAACGCAAAATTTTAACAATTGCAAGAAAATAATGTTAACACAACACATACATTATGTAATTGTATTAAAATCAATTTCAGTACTGTTGTAGGGTCAATAATGGAGCAACTGTACGCACTTGGCGTTTCTTGTATAGAATGGGTTCAGAACTGGTATATCTTTTTCATTGATTTTCTCAAAGAAACCTTGCTGCACACTTTGTATAGCTATTAAATTACTTAAAAGGCTTAGAAATGAGATGTTTTCATATCTTTTATTTTACGAAAAAGTCATGACACATTCTTGTATTACTTTTTAACAAAACTGGGTTGTATGTAAGGCTCTAGCTCAAACCAGCAATCAAAATCGGAGCGCTGCATACATTTCAAATGATGCCGAAACCATTTTAAACTTCTTGACACTCACGCATGTATATGTCTTTCCTCTTTCTTCTTAATCAGCCGATAAAACTTCAATGCTGTACACACTTAAAAAACTACGAGGCAATCTAAAGTATATGTACATTAGCTTATACGGAAAGAATTATACTAAAATACCTAGAATGGTTTAAGCAGTACAGTTTTAGTGTTCATTTTAAGTAAAACATTAATTTTAGCATCTGAAGTTTACTTCCAGCATAAGTCACAAAAAATTTAATAATAAAATATGTACCTAGTTATTTTAGCCTTATGTACACAAAATTAATCATTACCTTGGACAGCGCTGGATAGAAGTGCTAAATACATTTCAAGTGATGCAACAACAAAGCTATACCATGCTTAACTTATTGTAAGAATGTGCACTCATATATACATGTGCATTTAAAATCATTTGCAACCAAGATGGTTTTAAGCAATTAACTATTCTTAGCCCATGCTTGATTACTATCCTACCTGATGGTAATTGATGATGCAGCTGAAGATGGTAAAATGCACTAATAAGGGGGGATTTTGCCATAGTTTCTATGTTTGGTATTTTGAGTTGTTTTATGAAAGATGCTACTGCCCATATCCTGTTACAGATTCTTCTGTCTTCTTTTACAACACCCACAGGATGTTAAAGGGTAGTGGATATTCTTACACCGCCTCTACACATTTTCATTACTATATGATGAATTTATTATAAACTGACCCTGATGTTCCTATGTTAAATACTAAGTCATTTTTTTATAGGATAAGGGTGACAAACAAGCACACAGTCCACCTGATGGTAAGTGGTTGCTGTGGCCCATAGACATCTACATCTATCTTCGATTACGAATCAAAATGCAGATGTGTTGTCACCCGTGAGGACAAAGATGGAATGCCTCGTTTCCAGTAAAAAGGGTCTCTGGTTCTCTACACTCACCATACGAAACACAGCAGCATTAAACTGCTATTTTACACTGGTATTCTGTGAGAGTGTGGTCCTTCCCCAGTTGAGCCGACCCATTCGTGCTACAATCATAATATAGCTGCAGCATGGCTCTACCACGTATTAATTTAATTAATTCCTAAACTCTGTTTCTTTAAGGTTTGAAGATTCAGAAGATTTCTTTGAAATAGTAAATCATCTGTCCAATCCTCACTATGTCGTGGAGGTATTATTCCCACTTGTCTCCATTGTTGACTCAGTGTTTGCTGCCCAATTACTGCTGTGTTTGGCTTTCGGAGGTTGGCTAAATGCTGTTATGAAATGGTTAGTATAACCTTAACTTTTTCTTTAATTTCTTGTCAGATCCCTCACAATTTGGATGCTGCTAATTGTTGCTTTTTAAGGTGACAAACAAGCACACATCCACCTGATGATAAGTGGTTCCTATGGCCCATAGACATCTATCAACATCTATCATCAATTACGAATCAAAATGCATGTAAGGACAAAGACGTAGGGTATTCAATTTCTTATTATCATTGACATAATATGATAAGACATTACTAGGCCTTTAATTAGGCTTATATTAGGGCAGAGCATGGACTTGAGCCATCTGCATTCTGCAACTTAGAACAACTTCACTCACTTTCAAAAAAAGATAGACAAAAAGAAGTTCATGGACACCCGTAGCCAACTCAAACAAAAAAGGCTTTAGATATGTTACCTCCTTTAAGGACTAAGTTGGAATGTCTCACAGCGTGTCATTATACTGGCTCATTATACCCTTAAGACTAAAACACGGTAGTGAGCACCCTACTGCTTGGTGGCAGAAATAGTTAAGTTGGTGGTACAGCAGGCTGCCACTCGAGAACCGTTCTTCCTGATCAATTTTGTTCTTCAAGCTTTATAACCATCCCATTGCCACTTCAGCTTACTGATTTGCTGGCCTATGTCAGTTACTCTTGTTGCCCTTATTTCTATAAAAAGATATTTGTAAATTATATACATACATAAACACACGCCTGTCACCCAGAGGAGTAGGCAGAGACTATGGACTTCCATTTGGCATTTCACATTTGGTATGTGATCGTTTAGTGCTTAGGACCCTACATTGTGTAAATTATATATGTTACAAATATGTTATATATATGTTACAGGTGGTTGTTAGAAGAACGTCCATATTGGTGGGTGCGAGAAACCACATTCTATACGGGTATGCGGCGTCCCCAATTACGTCAGTTCGGTCAGACATGCGAGACGGGGCCTGGTAGTCCTTCAGGCCATTCGGCTACTGCGGCTACTGTGTTGCTGTTAATCCTTATGTGGATATCGCATATTATGAATGATAGGTAATTGATGAAATTGTACTTATAATTTAATTTGTTCTTCATAATGTTTACACATAACATGGAGTTTATGGCTCGGTAGTGCAGTGGCTAAGTGTTTGATTGTGGTGCATCAGGGCTGATTTTCAATCTAATGTTTTCTGGGTCTGGGTTTATGCATGAAAAATGAAAAAGCCTTTACCTCCATGATACAGGAGAAAATTCTAATGTGTGTATGGTAAGAGTGGTAAGTTAGTTTAAAGTCAAGTAAATTATTTCTTAAATTTCTTTCCCCATTTGAATTTCTTTAAAATTTTTCAAAAGGTTCATTCTTGTATTAACCAATCTAATCTATAAAACATATTAATCACAAGTAAGGGTGACAAACGAGCATATGATCCACCTGATGATAAGTGATTTTCCATTTGATTTTGACCAATGAAGTCTAGTTATCAAAAAAAAAAGGTCTACTAAATATATAAAACACGGCTCTATTATGCTGCTATTTTACGTTGGTATTCTGTAAGGATAGTTCTTCCCCAGTTGTATCAACTCATTTGTGCTCCAACTTTAATACAGTTTAATTGTGGTTTTCCCACATATTTTTTATCTACGATATATTTATTACAATATCTAAAGACAATATTGTTTTCTTTATCTTTATGAGCTGATATAAATCCACGTTTTATATAATATGGCTCCGCCACAATCCTCGCGCTGCTCACCGCTCTACTCCTCGTGCTGCCGCGATGTTGCCCTCTCTGCCTACACACTGCTCTACTCGCGCAATTAATCGCGGCGCTCCGTACTAGGTTGTTTGCGTTTACAACACAGTGGATGTTTAAACTGTGGCAGCGTGTGCACTATATGCATTGTGGCGGCGCTGTCGCGATACACATCGAAGCCTAAGTCGCTCTAAGAAAGTTCCGAAGTTAAAGCAGCATTTATAACATAGCTCTGAACTACCAATCGGAGTGTTGGCCGCTCCCCGGGCAGAACACCTTGCCCGGCGGGAGATCTCCCCTTTTCCTTCCTACGGCCACAGATATTTAGTATTATATCAATGTCATAAAAAGAAATATAAGTACGTCGCGGCAGCGCGAGGAGTGAAATATTTGTAACCGATGAAATAACCTGGAAACATATCTCTATATTATATAAAAATGTGTAAATTAATTATTCAAATGATAGTATTGTATAATTTGTATAAGCATGTTATTTTTTATTATTATTATTTATTTTATTATGGGGGAATATTTCAACACCGTCAACGGCTCTATTTTTTAATAAAACTAATATTAACTAGTAATCAATAGTAAGTTTGCATGTCATATTCATATGTTAGTGGCGACCTGCATTTTATAGGTATGTGCATATTTATAGATATGTATGGAACCTTTTGTAATTTTTTTTTCTACCGACTTCAAAAAGGAGCCGATACTCAATTCCACTGTATGTTTTTTATGTGTTTTTTTTATGTACCTCATAACTTTTTACTGGTTGAACCGATTTAGATGATTCTTTTTTTATTTGAAAGCTGGTGCTTCACATGTGGTCCCATATAAATTTGATCAAGGTCTGACCAATAATTTTTGAGTTATTCTTAATAATTTATATTGAAGTTGGTTGTACAAAATTTTTAATTTTAAATTATGGTTGCAGAAAATGCTACATATGGTGGTGGAAGTATGCGATTTACCCAGTTATTGCGTCAGCGCTCGGTGCAGTAGTGCTTGCCCGTATGTTCGTCGCCACGCACTTCCCGCATCAGTGTCTTTTAGGAGTATTAATAGGTGAAAAACCCTTGAACCGTTCTTACAGCTCATGTTAACATTACAATATATTATCTGATATTTATCCAATTTGAGCGAGCACCTTCAGCAGTTGGTAAGTTAGGGGCTAAGTGCTCGCTGTAAATTTCACAGAACGTGCAGACCTGGTTCCATCCCCGCCGGTACCAAGGAAATTGTTAATTGCTCATTTAAGTGCTGATTTAACATGCGTTGAAGGAAAACATCATAAGGAAACTTGCATGTCTGAGAAATAAAAGAAATGTTTGGAGGACATGTCAAGTCCTCCAACAATTATAGAAAGTGTGGTAAATGTACACACTTCCTTGTCCTGAAACTCTTTTCACGTATGAGAGCCCTTTACTTTACTTTTAAGTTTTATAACCATTTTACTGCTCAACATGTGTTCTCTAAAGTGGAACTTATCTTACTGTGAGGCACATACTTTATGGATTTTAAGTCGATTGTGCGCTCTGGCCACCCCATAGCATTAATTTTAACGTCTACGGCCGCAGTATGAGGGCGTAATTATAAAAGTCATCGAAAAAGCCAAAAATATATAAGAGTAAGTAATTTTTAAAGGGTTCTGTAAAGGTACTGATTATTGCATACTGAAATACTAAGTGTTGGTTAATTATTTAAGATTACCATTAACTGTCGTGCATATGTTGTTTTGTCGGAAGTTTTAATTTTTCCCATCTGTAAAGATATTTAATAAAAGTTAATTTAAAATTGATCATATCTTCCACTATCTAAATACATAAGTTTACATTATATAACATATACCTACTATGTATCTTCTTTGGCACAAGTCTATAATATTCCATTTCGGTTCTACCGAATAGACTTGTTTGGCTCGCCGCTCACTTAGCGGTTAGCCATCGTAGAGTCTATATCACCTGAGGATGCCTCGTGTAGAGGCGAAACACGTGTCGTATTATCGTCAGTGGTGTGTCTTGCCTAGTGTAGTGGTGTTGGGAGTAGCGGTGCTGGGATTAGTGGTGACGGGAAGAGTGCACGCAATTGAGGGAGGGCGGGAGGTGCTCTTCATACTAGGTAAGACACATCATTTTATTTTATAACGCGGATATTTGCGAAGAAAATTTTTCTAAAAGCTTTTATATAATGGATTTCCGCAAAGTAATGCCTGATTCTATTAATTATAGAATAGACTTGTGCCAAAGAAGATACATAGTAGGTATATGTTATGTTATGATATGTTATGTTATGTTGATACCTCAACCCTAGCGTTACACGCTCCGGCCTAATGTCATCGGCGCTTTAACTCTCACGTACAGAGAGTGTCACCGCTATGCCCATACCATAACTGACCCTCCTACATATGCCTCTTTTCCAATGATGTTGCTCTGAACGTACCTCTCGTCCGTGCGGCTTCAGGCTTTAATCCTGCCATAATGTGACTTCAGGCAAAATCTGGACTCTGTGAATATAACTTGACTCCAAGCTTTGTTATTCCGATTTTCGTGATTGCGAAGAAAGTATATCGATAGCATGTTGCAAGAAGGTGGCATCTGGCAGGCAAGTGTGAATTTGTCCAGGTCGATTTCAGACATTTTCTCACAGTTGTTGTGCTTACTGTAACCTCTCGAACTTCTTGTAGTTTCCTTCTTATCTCAGAAGAAGTTAATGTCCTGTTTCTAAGCACGCTGGTAACGACGGACCGGTCATTTCTGGATCCCTGTCCTACGAGTGTCGTATACTGTCCGGTTTAGCGATATCTCTTCACAACTCGGTGTACCACATATTTTGATACTCGTAATGTTTGGGCCACATGTTTGTAAGTGTGCCCAGTTTCGATAAACTAACAGCCCAACTCAGTGATGTTTAGATCTGATATTCTTAATTCACACTTAACACGACAAACAAGGCAAACATTTAAACATAACCTAAATCTAAATAAGCTCAAATTCAAAAGTTGGCAAATTTTTCGCAGTATCGCAATATTACGCAATAATTACATAAAAACAAATGCAATTCGAAAAAAAAAACATTTCAAAACATTTTTTTAATTTTTGCGTTTCTCTTAATTAATCCATGAGCGTGGTTTATTTGCAAAATGAGTAAGTAGTTATAATTTACAATATATGACCGCTAGAGGGGCGCCAATGAGGTGCTAGCCTAGGCCTAGGGCGCTTTCGACATTTAATCCGCCTCTGGTTGCAAGCTTCCATGGGCTGCACTAGCCACTTACCATCACGTGGTATGTAACTTCGTTTGTCATTTTGATCTTATATAAATAAAAGCTTAAGTAAATTTGTATAATTTTTTACATTGTTGTTAATAAAATTCATTAAACTGTGATGGTAATTATAATAGTGTATAGTTAAAAAAATATTGACATTTTGTTTCCAGGCTCGTTTCTCGCTCCAGCACTATGCATCTACGTATCAGACCCTTATATTTGGAAGAGCGGCATTAAATCTGACGCAGACACTCGACGTGCCATCTTGTGGCATGTTGTGTCCGCCCTCGCGACTATCGCCGTCAGTATCGTTACGTACTTCAGTCTTAAGCTGTGCGGTGTAGATCCACAGTGGACCATACAGTTGGTGAGTACCTAATGTACTTCTAAGAGCTTTCATGTAGTAAGTAGATCTACACTGCAGCATTAATGGCTGTTGCCCGAATTAGTCGGCTCGGCTGGAAAGAATCACGCTCGCACTAAGTGCTTAATTTTAGAGGTAGAATACTAGAGTAGTAGGCGGTGGAACAAAAATATACTGAAATCTAATTAATAGAATCAGGCGTTACTTTGCGGAAATACATTATATAAAAGCTTTTACAAAAATTTATTTTGCAAATATCCGCGTTATAAAATAAAATATATATAGACCGATGACGCAAGTTGCGTCATCGGTCTATATAAAAGGCACTTGTTTTGGCTCGCCGCTCACTTAGCGGTTAGCCACCGTAGAGTCTATATCACCCGAGGATGCCTCGTGTAGAGGCGAAACACGTGTCGTATTGTCGTCGGTGGTGTGTCTTGCCTAGTGTAGTGGTGTTGGGAGTAGCGGTGCTGGGATTAGTGGTGACGGGGATAGTGCACGCAATTGAGGGAGGGTGGGAGGTGCTCTTCATACTAGGCAAGACACATCATTTTATTTTATAACGCGGATATTTGCAAAGTAAATTTTTCTAAAAGCTTTTATATACTGAAATCGATTGGCGAACCGAATTTTCATCGAAATCTCTTAATGATTTCATTAAATATTTTTATGAAATATTTGGGAAATTAAGACATAAGCACGTACTGTCTAAAATAATTAAACCGGACTCCTACCGTACGTGGTATTCTCCAGCGTTAAGGAGAGCAATTAAAGAAAAATATAAGTAGTACCTTCGTAAAATCAAATTATTCAAATATTGCGCATTCGTGTAAAATATTTAACAGTGGTAGAGCCTCGCGGCAGCTTTTGCTGTTGCATATATGAGCCGGCTCGAGCCGGGGTGGTACAACGACCTCATAGAATATCAGCGTGAAAAAGAAGCTGAGTGGGTGAGTGCACCTGCGGGGGATTGGAGGTCCAATCCCCCCCACCCCCTTCAACATGGTAGCGGAATTAAATGTAATACTAATGCTGATGATTACCGCTCGCTGTAAGTTTCATAGTGCAAATTTAAGTACTGATTTACCACGTGCTCGGTGGTGAAGGAAATCATCGTGAGGAAACATGTCTGAGAAATAAGAAAAAAAATATTTCGAAGACATGTTGAAGATCACGCATTGGTGCAGCGTGGCAGACATTTCCTTGCCTTAAAACCCTTTCAGAAATGAGAGGAGACCCAGCAGTGGGACGCATATAGGCTTTTAACTTAACTTTTTTTTTATATAGGAGAGGGGGCAAACGAGCATGCAGCTCATCTGATGGTAAGTGACTACCGCCGCCCATGAACAACTGCAACACCAGGGGAACCAGGAGAATTGCAGATGCGTTGCCGGCCTTTAAAAAAGGAGTAGGCTCTTTTTTTTGAAGGTCCCTAAGTTGTGTCGGTCCGGAAAAATCGCTGATGGTAATCGATTCCACAAGGAAGTCGTGCGAGGAAGAAAACATCTTCTAAATCGCACAATGGTGGACCGCCAATCATCCAGATGGTGTGGATAGTATCGGGAGTTCTGCCGCGATGTGCGTTCGTGAAATTTGGCGGCTGTGATTAATCCGAACAATTCCTCAGAGCACTCCCCGTGGTAAATGCGAAAGAAAATGCAAAGGGATGCAACATCTCTTCGCAGTGCCAATGAATCGAGCCGATCGGAAAGGACTCGGTCGTCGACGATTCGACCCGCTCTGCGCTGGATGCGGTCAAGTGGAAGGAGCTGGCACTGGGGAGCCCCTGCCCAGACATGGAAACAGTATTCCATGTGAGGCTGAACCTGCGCCTTGTAAAGTTGCAGGCGGTGTACCGGCATGAAATACTGTCCCGATATGCTGAGCACGCCAAGCTTTTTAGAGGCCAATTTGGCCTTCTCTTCCAATTGACCACGAAACTGCACGTCACTCGATATGTCGACTCCGAAGATTCCGATACTGGCGGAAGCAAGAAGGGGAGTGCCCTGAAACTGAGGAGATATGACAAAGGGGTTCTTTTTAGCGATAAACGCGCAAACTTGTGTCTTCTGAGGATTAAACTGGACTAGATTTCGTCGCCCCCAATCCGAGATTTGTTCAGCAAAGACTGGGCTTCAGACACAAGTTTGTTCCGGTACTCGGGACGTTTTCCTGAGAAATATTGGCACGGCCGGTGTATAGAGCATCACCGGTGCTGTCATCCGCATAGCAATGAATGTTACCAGTTAGCAACATATCATTGATATGCAGAAGAAACAGCGTTGGTCATAGCTCATAGCCTTGTGGAACACCAGCGTTAATAGGCTTGTAGTCGGAGCATGCATCATCTACAATGAACTTTATGCTCCGATCTGCAAGGAAGCTGGTGATCCAATTGCACAATTTCTCGGGAAGCCCATAGGAAGGGAGCTTCGAAAGAAGCGCTTTGTGCCAAATCCGACCGAAGGCCTTCGATGAATATTATTATTTATATTAACTTTTGTTAACTAAACTGTAAACAATATATGAAATCACATAGACCGTATTTTGGATTTATTAACTGCGTCTTTTTAGATATTCTATTGTAACTATCTATAGATATTGTGGACTAGAATGTCTCTCTGGTCTTCCTCATAGCCGTCTCTTGCGACACCCATGGGATGAAATGGACTAATGGATTCACTTACGCCAATTCTATATGGCGTCTACGCCCACTTACATTTTTTTTTCATTTAGCTTGTTCTTTTTATAAAAAGGATTTTTTGCTTGGTTTTAGGCATTCCGCTGGTGCGAAAGCCCTGACGATATTCATGTATCGACCACGCCGATGTTCGCTTTAGTGCAATGTACAGCCAACCTCCTAGGCTGGGCCCTGTGCGTCACTCCTGCTGTAGCTCAGTAAGTGTTTTATTAAAAGTAATAACTAAAAATTAATAAATTTCAAAATTCCCGAAACAATACAGCTGATGACTTTGAAACGGCTGAACCAATTTTGATGAAACATGTTCAAGAATCACCGCTAGAAAACCTGCTTTTAAATTAAAAAAAAACCTAAATCTTTAGAAAACGTTACCCACACTAGGATTTTCTCCTGTGTCGTGGAGGCAGTTTACAAACATAATTGCACAAGGACAAACATCCAGACCCGGAACAATTATTTGTAGGCCATACAAATACTTGTTCCGTGCGGGATTCGAACCCGCGGCCCCCAGCGCAACAACTGATTGCTAAGCCACTGCGCCACGGAGCCGTCAAACGTTCACGTTTCGAAGGCGCTTCGTAAATTACTCTACATACATAGTCTAATTTTCTGTACATATAAATATTTCTTCATATTGGGATGTAGGTTTACATTCTATATTAGTCCTCCAGGGTGACTACTCATCTGCATTTTGATTCTTAATCGATGATAGATGTAAATTTCTATGGACCATAGCATCCACTTGCCATCAGGACTACGTGCTCGTTTGTCACCTTCATACTATAAAAAAAAGTTAGAACGAGCCATCTGCGTAGGACGGCATAACTCTCTCAGAATTGAGATTTTACTGGACTTCCACAAATAACAAGTTTACAAATGGACAATGTTGTGCTGAAATGATTCCACCCACAAACTGTCCAAAATAATGATCCAGAGGCAATTCAATGAAACCAATTTTACGGATTTTAATCTCGTTAACTTTAAAATTTTTAATTCCCGACGTTTTTCCCATGGTCACAGAGAGGACTGAGGCGTTTGACGTCCCGATGTCATAGTTACGGCTACCTACCGCGATAAAATCCGTAAAATTAGTTTATTTAATGTATAGTGTTAAGAAAGCAAACGCTTTTTTCAGTTGATTACCAATGTATGAAAGGTTTCTGAAAAAATCTCTATTAAAATTATATACATAACATAATATAAAACGACCTGCCACAAGAACAATGCATCTTTCAAATTAGATTTTTTGTGGTTTGGATCATTTTTCTCAACAATGTCCAATTATAAATCAATCAAAATTTTTAACTTCTGATTATTTCATTGTAAAGCTGGTGGTGGTTCCGTGCTTTTATAATGTAACACTTTGAGCAGCTTGTTATAGGTTTGATAGTTTTACGGCTGTAAGTGATTATTTAGCACCGTATCGACGAGTGGTGTGTAGGGCGACTCCAGACTAGATGCAATGATTACCTGGAAAGTCATACGGGAAGTCGACAGATGAAGGCCGCACATAACCGTGTTTTGTGAAATTTTTCTAGGAGTGAACTTGTGAGGTGCTGCAATAGTGATGATGAAGTGATTTTTATTAAAATTGTCGCATTTTCTTATTTCAGATATCGCCACTACACGAAAAATCGTTCTTTAATTATATCAGCGTTCAGCGCCGCCATTTTCCTTTATGGAGTAAAAGCGCTTCAAGAGAATATAAGTAGAAATAACGCGTTTTATTTCTACTCAATGCAGTTCTTGCTGAATGCTATTAAACCAGCTTTGTTACTAAGATTGGCGCCAGCAATTGCTATGTGGCCTTATTCTAGACAAATAAAGAACAAAGTAGCATAAATTTGACGCCATTAGCAAAAATTCTTCGTTTCTAGTAATATAATTTCAATTCAAAATCAATGTAAAATAAAACATTACTCCCTTTGTTTTATTATTTTATTTTGCATATAGATTCCTGTAAACTTCTAACGAAATTTTATTATCAAGTGCAATAAATAATAATATTATGTATATATATATAAATTATTTACAAGAAGAAGTTTATAGTTTAGTTAATGTTTACTTAAACTTGCATGCATATCTGAATGTTCATACTTAGTATATAATTTAAATTATTATACCAGTGCGAAGCTAATAAATACCATGAGATTTTTTAGTCTAACCAATAAGAAATATATAAAGTTTCTCATTAGTGTAATAATTTATATATTTATATAAGTGAAATTTAAATTTGCATTTTAAATTATTCTATCCCAACAACCTTGTGAAGGTATTTTTAATTTCGTGAAAATAAAATATACATTACAAGTACATTGGAAACCGAATTATTTCTGTGGAAGTTGTTTTATGTGTTACAAGCAATAATCAGTACGGGGAGACAATTTATGTATTTTCACTGTGATGTTTGAATGATACACGTAAGATACACACCAAATACGATAAAATATTTTTTTTTGTCACATGTTTCTGTTTTTATTAAAGATTTAACAATTTTTTTGTTTTATTTATATCTTTAAAATATATCTTTAAAATAAATTATATATGCTGGCATTTTGTATCATATTACATACATATGTTTTTAAATTTAAATCAAAGCTGGTAAAAGTATTTCTTGCGAATATTAGTCGCAGATCTTAGCTTTCCTAGAAAACACATTTTTCATAGAAAAGGGATTTTTCTTTAATTTAAGTACAAGTTGTCCATCCTTTGTTAAATAACTCCTGCCTAAAATCAAGTTCGATAAATCTTTTAAATTTCTTCGTTCAATTGTAGTAACTTCTTTAGTATTCCACAATTTAAAATTGTTGTCGTGATAATCTATACTACGAGGATCGATCTGAAGACATTTGTTTGCCTTTTTGGGCGGTTTTGGCGTATACACTAAATACTTCGTTCTCTTTAGTTTTTTGGATGTGGGTCGTAACTGGTTTTTGTAGCAGGAATTAACTTGAGAGATTTTGCCGTCGCCTGATTTATATTTGTTTACCGATATTTTGCTAATAGCCGTTGAAATACGTCCAGTTACAGATATTCTTGATTTTGATTTCCTCACAAAACTCGCAATATGTTCCAGCGGTACGCAACAAAAAACTCTTGAAAGTATCACACATCGGTATGTTATATTCTTGATAATTTTTGTTAAAAACGACGGTTCTCTCTTGAAACCTACACTCATTTTATCGTGCCATTTTGTCAGTGTCACATTTTATATTTTTTAAATTACATTTTTAAGACAACGGTCGCAGTCTGCATACCTATTTTGCTTGATTTTTGGACCTATTCGTGGATGGATCTTTTATCATAAAATGCAGCAAGAAAAAATATTTTATCAGTGGATTTAAGATAACTGTGTTTTCAAAGATAAATGTGTATTTCAAGTATATTATGGTAGCAGCACCAATGGATCAGTTCGACCGGGCAAGGATCACACTCTCGCAGAATACCAGCGCAAAAAGCAGCTTAATGCTGCTGCTTCGCATGGTGATGCAGATAACCGGAGACTGTTTTTACTGGAAGCGAGGCATTCCATCTTAGTCCTTAAGGGTTGACAACGCATCTGCATTTTATTTTATTTATTTAAAAGGACAACCAACAAGACGAACACTAATACATGGATATTAAGGTAACATGAATATAAAACTAAAGCTAAGCGTCATCTTAATTATAGGCTGCCACGGCATGCAAATGTGGACTATGCAAATAAAACTTAAATAGGTTAGTTAATACTAAGCAAATGAAAACTTAAACATTTTAATCATCATTTAACAATCATTATTTTTATATGTTAAAAAAAAATCAAACAATAGATATAGATACTTGAATCAAACAGACACCATTGACTCGAGAAACTGACCGAGCTTGCGTCTAAATTTCAACGGCTTGTCAGAAAAGATGTCGATGTTGTAAGACTTAGATATTACGTTGTACTGTCTCTGTAAGCGATTCATGGTGGCGTGGTGACCTAAGCTACTTTTGGCACCTTTTGGTGAAAATGGAACGCATCGTACGCGACGCGGCAACTTGTATGGGATATTAAAATTGACAGATCGCAATAACGCAGGGCAGTCAATGAGGCCATTGATAATCTTATAAAAAAGTAATTGATCCAAAAACAATCTTCGTCCTTGTAGGCTAGTCATTTTAAAATAGGCAAGACGTTCCTTATATGAGGGCAGCAGTTTGGCTTTGTTAGATTGGTAGGATAGGTGCCAGAGAAATCTCTTCTGTATTCGCTCGATTCGCTTAATATGGACCTCATAATGTGGGGACCAAACCTGACTACAATATTCCAAACCCGAACGAACCAATGCCAAATACAGGAGAATTTTTGTTGAGGGCTTTTTGAATTTCTTTGCATTCCGCAGCACAAACCCTAGCATCTGGAAACCTTTTGTTGCGAATTGGTCAATGTGTTTGTGAAAGCGTAGTTTTTTATCCATAATGACGCCCAAATCGCGAATAGAGTCCACCTCTTGCAATTTTTGACCGGCAATATTGTAGGACGGCGACAAGTTTGTTTTGCATCTCGAAAATCTAATAAATTTATATTTTTCAGTATTTAAATATAACCTGTTCTCCCTACACCATCCAGCGAGTCGATCTAAATCCTCCTGTAATAATAATGAATCATTAATACCTCCGATCTGCATAGACAGTTTCATGTCATCAGCGTAAAGGAAACAAGCAGCATGATCAAAGATACCCACGATATCATTAATAAATATATTAAAGAGGATTGGACCCAGATGCGAACCTTGTGGAACGCCGGAAGTTGGCTGAAAGGAGTGCGATGAGTAGCCATTAACCACAACGTGCGACTTGCGTTGATAAAGATAGGATTCAAACCATTCCAGAAGGCTGCCGTACACACCCAAACGAGAAAGTTTACCCAGTAAAATTTTGTGATCAACTGAATCGAAAGCCTTACTAAATTCGGTGTATATGGTGTCTACAGGATATAGCATATATTTAGTATCGCGTTTAATTAAACAAGTTAATTAAACGCGATAAAATCCGTAAAAGTAGTTTTATTCAATAGTGCTTACATAATTTTATAAATAAGTAATAGTGATTTTCTGCCAACTTTCAAAAAGGAGACGGTACTCAATTCGACTGTATATTTTTTTTATGTGTGTTACCTCATAACTTTTACTGGGTGAACCGATTTCGATGATTCTTTTTTTATTTGAAAGCTGATACTTCTCGTGTGGTCCCATATTACATAATTTGATCAAGATTAGACCAATAGTTTTTGAGTTATTCTTAATAACTTTTATTGAAGTCGGCTGTACAAAATTTTTAATTTTAAATTAATGATTATTAATCAAAACACGTAGTATTATAATTAGTGTGATATAGTTTAACAAATTTTGAATTTTTTTTTTATTTTCATTATTTAAAAATAAATAAATATGTTCATAAATTTGTAAACAGTGGCTTGTTTATTTCACAGCTTTATGTCATGTAAGTAAGTGGCAGTCTGCAAGGGACGATTTAGTTGAAAGCTTATCGACCAAATTAGTAATAATATATTGAAGGGCCAAATTAAAAGTTAGCTATCTGAAGTTTAAGAGATGCTTCCAAATGCCCTTTGTTTTAGGTTGGAATCTTATTATTTAATACCTAATCCAGTGAAAACGAAATATTCTATACAGGCTTTAGATAAGCTTTTAACTGTCAGAGATTGTCACTTAATTAAATGTAAGTCACTTAATTAAATGCCACTTCGGATCTTATCTCCAGTCACTAAATATTGAACAATAGAAGCTTTATTTATTTACTCGCTAAAGCATTGCTATATCCGAACGTGGCTTTATCATCTGCGTAGCTTTATAACTTTTTTGTCATTAATTAGAACTAAATATGGTTTTTAAGAAGACTTCTTTTATGATTGGTTCAGATCCAAAGTTTTCATCAAACCATCTTTCGCATTATGTAAGTATGGGTACGTCCAGTATAATTTTTTATTCTGTTATACTAGCTTAATATTGTAGGACCTGTTTCTTTATCCTAATTATTAAAATAATAATGTTATTACTTTGTGATGTTCTCCAGCACTTTAATCGAGTTCCTTGTTACTATTAATTTAATTCACAGGTCTCGTCATTGTTTTGTTTTTACATCTAATGACATTAGGTGTAACATTTCTTATTAGCTTGTGGCTTTTACTCCAGAAAGTAAGCTTACGCCGACAGTTACTACGAGGGCGACACGGAAAGTTTTTAGAACTGGCCACTTGTAAACGATATAATAAAAAAATAAGTTCAAATTCTGAAAATGGAACTCTGCCAATATTATTATGTATTATTAGCCAGTATTATTTTATTAATATGTCATTTGTTTATGGCTTGACGGCGAATTGAAAATTGTCTGTGTCCCGTTGGTATGAATTTAACGCGAGAAAATTTTAGTACAATGATTTTTATGACTTTCGATGTCACTTAAGTCAACAAGAAAGTTATGATAGTTTTCTATTGACCTTTCACGATGAAGCCCCATCTCGTGCCACTGTTTAATACTGTTTAAAACTGGTTTAATGAGTTTAAACGTGGTCGCACTAATCTCATCGATGATCTGCGTGAGGGATGCAGGACGCCTTCTACGGCGACGACTGAAGATAACATCAGCATTATGCGGCGTATGATAGAGACTGACAAAAGAATGACTTATCAGCAGATTCGGACAGATGGTTCAAAGATTTAACGGAGGTTACTCAAATACTGTGTTCGACATACTTACGAGTGACGAAAGCTGGACTTATTGTTATGATTCTGAAACTAAGAGACAATGTGCTGTCTGGGAGTTTTCTTCCGAGGAGTAGCCAACTAAAGAGATGAGAG